GATATGTGCATTCTAATCCCACTTCTGCCACTAATTAGGTAGTAGAATTTGGACAACTCATTAACTTGTTTTGCGCATTGGGTTCCCCTGCTATAATGTCCAGGTATTGAAAGAACTAACTCTATGTGAGTTGTTTGTATAATGCATTGTGTGTACTTGGTGTGGACCACAGGGTCACCCTTGCCAGAGAAAACCACATCTATATATTGTTCAAGTCCATAGCAATATTCTTTCTTCCCTGGAAAGGATAATTGGATGTTGACTCTCAGTTATAAACACCTCTGTTTTCTCTGCATACATGTATGTCCTGTCTCTCTAGCCATTTTATAAACATTGAAAGCAGCAGTCATGATTTGTTTTTGTATATACTTCAGCCCATCTGTTATATACAACAAAAGCGGAGTAAATATGTGCTAATGACTTTACCATAAGTTCTGTAGGAACATTCTCCTTACCCTATTTACCCCATTCTGCATTACTTCCCTGACGGCAGAAAGCCATAGCAGTCATGCCTCAAGTTTGATGATGGCGGAATGTGCTGTTTGCTTTTAGAGTATGTAAATTTTCTGAAGGGGATCATACGTTTATTAATGTGTCACAGATTGCTTGCTTCCTGTTACCTCTTCTCAGTAAATAGGACTATAGCATTTGTTGGATGCTACTTTATTTTTAGGTTTTTAAATCACCTCCTGATGAACAGAAACAGTAAACAAGTATTAAAACTTTGAAAGTAATTTGAAAATAGTGCTATCCTGGGGAGTCTGGAATTCTAGACATTACCAGACAGTTGTAAATCATCAGTCACCTCACAGAGCTGGGGAATAAAAATCAGGAAAATAAGAATACCTAAATATGCTCATCTAGAGCTGCTTTGTGAAGATCAGAGGTCAGTTGCCTTTACAGAAGAGGAAGAGGCAATGGTTGGAATGAGGAGTCCATATTTTCTTCAACTTTAGTCATTCTTGTCCAGCCCACTCAGATATCCCAGATGAAAAGTATAAGGACTTATCTGGATTTTTATGCTTCAAACTAATTAGACACCAAATAATTGAAGCATCATCATGGTGATAATTTTTAATTTACCTGCTGAAGAAACACTGTATAGCCGTATGGCAAAATGGAAATATAAAGGAAGTGAACTGCAGTGCTGATAATAAGATCTAACACTTACTGAGTGCTCATTGTAAGACAGGCTCTGTTTTAAGATCTTTGTGTGTTTTAACTTGTTTGATTTCCATAGCAACCTATGGGGTCTTTACTATTATTTTCACCTTATACAAATAAGGAAATGGAAGCCTAAGGAGCCAAGTAACTTTCCCTAGTTTTAAAAATAATGAGTGATTATTATCAGAATCTGAACCTCTGCAGTTGAGATTTGGAGTTCTTGCTCTTAACTTGACCTTGTCTGTATGTGCGTGTGTGTGTGTGTATGTGTGTGTATGTGTATGTGTATATATATATATATGCACGTATACACACACACACACGCACATATATATATATATAAAATGTCTGCTATTTGATACAAAGAGGTGTGGTACAACAGACAACCAAAAGTAATCAATAATTTGTGGAGAAAGAAAACCTAAGACTCTTGAGTCTAAACGATTTATGTGGATGGTTCAAAATTGGAATATGTTGATTTACTTCTTAGAAAGGTCTCTGTTTCTTAAAAATTCTGATGTGTTCTACAAATATGCATTATTCCAAAACCTAAATATTTTCTTAAGACACATTTGAATGTGTCTTCAGGTAATTAATAGCTTAACTTTGATAAATATTTTTTTCTGAAAAAAATTATCTTACAGTGAGCCTAGGAAGAGCATGCTCCAGTCTGTACTGGAGCGAAATTAATAAATAATGTATGAGCAATATTGCTGGCAAACCCAAAGAGAGATACCTTTTTCATGTGGGTGTGAAGCTCAAGCTAAAATTTAACACATTCTTTTCTCTCAAAGCTATTTCTTTTTCAGTATTTTTCATGCTGCAAGATTGACTCTACCTTTCACATAGTCAACTGAGAAAAATTCTTCATCATCTTGGATGCCTCTCTCTTTCCTTTGCTTCCTCACTGTTATATTGATTCAATATTTTAAATATATTTTAGACATGATCACTCTTTTCTATCCCAACGTGCATTGCCTTTATTGAGGCTGCTATTTTTTCCTGAATGAATGCAATTGCTTTCTAATTTGTCTCACTGCATTTAGTCTTCCTTACAATCTAATCCATTTTTCTCATTACAATCAGAAAAAAAATCTTTCCAAGATCCAAATTTCATCATTCCTCAATATAAAGCCCAAACTTTTTGAAGTGGCTTACATGACTGTCAGTCTGGTTCCTGTGCACCTCTCCAGTCTCAGGTCCTTTATAACTACCTTATACTCCAGCAACTTCACATTATTTGCAGTTCCTTAAACATACCAAGTTGTTTCATGCCTTCTAGCCTTTGTGCGTACCATTCCCTGAAATAACTCTTCTCAAAATTGCCAAATTCCTTCCTTTGCCTGCTGGTCTACTAGAAAAACACAAAGAAAAAAATTGCCAAATTCTTATTCGTTCTTTAAGACAATTCACACATCACCATTTATGAAGCCTTCTTGTTTCTTTCTTTGACGCGACTGTGGTAGTTCACATCTCTTTGTAGTACTTATCATATTGAATATCAACTATTTACTTTTATATCTCTTTGCCTGGATTGTGAGGGGCTCAGGACAGGGAATATGTCTTATTCTAGTAAAATTCTTGAACATAAACTCTCAGGACTTTTTTCAGACTTCTGAATGACTTTGTTTAATGGTTAATGGTTTCACCTATTAAGTGTTTTTTTAATCTACCTGTGGGCTAGGTATTATAGGAAGCGAAAGATGTTCACATTCAATAAAAAAACCTGCTAATTTTTTGGAAATATTCTTTTTTACCCAATATAAAGTTGAATAGCCAACCTAGCTATTTTTTTTTTAGCCTTTCTCATTGTGTCATTTTAGCATTAAACAAAAGTGAGAATCTAAATAAGGGAGCTGCTTAAATGTCAAAGCATCTTAGCTGAATAAGGAGGAGTACTTGGGGCCTGTGGTCTATGTGCACAGATGCAAAGAGGAATCACCATCACTGAGCACCTATGGCAGGCCAAGCAGACTTCTATTCAGTATCCTATTTAATACTTAGGGAAGTGCTGCCCCTCCACCCGACCTGAGACCCAGATGGGTTAAATAGATCGCTCAGTTTTGTAGAGATAGTAAGCATTGAGACCAAAATACAGGGATTTGATGGCCAAGTTCATGAATAAGCAGTTGGCCTCTGTCTTAGTCCGTTTGCATTTCTATAAGGGGATACTTGTGGCTGGGTAATTTATAAGAAAAGAGGTTTATTTGGCTCATGGTTCTGCAGACTGTACAAAAAGCACAGCACCAGCATCTGCTTCTGGTGAGGGGCTTGAGGGAGTTTCCAATCATAGTGGAAGATAAAGGTGGAGGCAAGTATGTCATATGGCAAGAGAGGGAGCAAGAGAGAGGGGGGAGGTGGAAAGCTCTTTTAAACAACCAGCTCTTGCATTTACTAATACAGCAAGAACTCATTCAAAAAGGAGTGGGTGGGGCCGGGCGCGGTGGCTCACACCTGTAATCCTAGCACTCTGGGAGGCTGAGGCCAGCGGAGCTCAGGAGTTGGAGTCCAGCCTGAGCAAGAGCGAGACCCCGCCTCTACTAAAATTAGAAATAAATTAATTGGCCAACTAAAAATATATATAGAAAAAATTAGCTGGGCATGGTGGCACATGCCTGTAGTCCCAGCTACTCAGGAGGCTGAGGCAGAAGGATCACTTGAGCCCAGGAGTTTGAGGTTGCTGTGAGCTAGGCTGACGCCACAGCACTCACTCTAGCCCAACAAAAAGAGACACACTCTCAAAAAAAAAAAAAAAAAAGGAGTGGGTGGGGTGGGGAACCAAGCCATTCATGAGGTATCTGCCCCCATGACACAAACACCTCCCATTTGCCCCAACTCCAACACTGGAGATCAAATTTCAACATGGAGTTAGAGGGGACAAATACCCAAACCATATTAGGCACTTACCAAATGAGAAGTTCTCTACCAAATTTTGAATCCATTGTGATTTCCACTGGCTGGCATCATGTCTGACGCATTATTAGTGTTCACCGAATGTCCAGAGACTTGAATAGCAAGCCAAAGTAGTGCAATTTACACAAAAATTTCATTTGGTCCCAACTCTTCCAAAAGATCTCTGAATATGACTTATATTCCCACTTATTTCAAGATGTAAACTTGATTTAGGAACCAGCAAGGAAAAAAATGAGATGCTGATTTAATGACCTGGTTCTGTAGAATCTATCAGAATAGGGCTGTCCTTATGTAACACAGTAGAATGCTTCTCTCCGACAACATGAACTCCAGGTACTAACCTAAATAGATGTGGGTCAGTAAAGATAGTAACTTTGCAATACTTTTATCTAAGACCCTTTTCTGCTCTGACTCGTCGATAACTTCTCCTCTTAGCAGACAACTGGTACTGTAAGAGTGAGAAGCATTATTCCTGTCCTTCCACTGTGATTAATAGGTCAGTTACATTTTTTTCCACTTCTCTACTGAGTTTGCCAATTTTAGCATAAACCCAGGCTTGACTTTCTTCTTGACCTAAATCTTCCTTTATTTTTCTTTTCTTTTTCTAGGTATAAAAATCTCTATTGAACATTTTTCAAACTGAACTTAGATATAAAACAAAAAAGTTTTTTTCTTGGCAAATAAAAACAAATATACAGTTGAGTTCACAAAACCAAGCATTGTTTAGTTGGGTGACAACAGAGAACCTTGTGGAATAAGTCAAGATACCATAAAATGAGTTAAACAATGGAGTTTTTGCTGCTTTTTTTTTTTTTTTTTGAGTGAATTAAACACAGTGCCTTGGCAACACTTGCTTTTTTTTGTTCATACCAGGTCACCATATTTATTCTACTTTGTTACAGAAACTCTACTTACTGTATGAAAGTATCCATCTCACTGACAGTGGGTGAAAATGACACTGGACTCTGCTACAATTCCAAGATGAAGTACTTTGAAAAAGCTGAACTTAGCAAAAGCAAGGAAATTTCGTGCCGTGACATAGAGGATTTTTTACTACCAACCAGAGAACCTGAAATCCTTTGGTATAAGGTATTGTCTGTGGGTGATTTTATTGCTTATAAATAGATTAATATGCATCTTATTCTGGGGCAAATTGGATTAAAAAGTTTAAAAAGGGTGTGAAAAAAATGGCTGTGATATAGTTCAGCTGTGCCTTCCTAGAATACTAAAGCAAGTTGTTCTGGTCATTATGTTTTCCAACCAGTGGCTTTGATAAATTCTACTCAATATTTGTATTGGTAGTCCATTGTAATAAGCTGTTGTGTTCATGTTTATATCTTGTTTATATGGGCGATTTTTCAAATCTAGTATAGTCTGAGTTGATAATTGCAGGAACTAAAATACAATGAATATTCATTTCAGGGTTCTTCATGTTAGCATTCCAAAATGTCTCCAAACAAGGAGAAAAAGGATTGATTTTCTTCTATGATAAAATGATACCCTAATTTTTAATGGAATGTTCTGTTTAATGGACATAATTTTGTCCATATTCTAATCCTTTCTATGCATAAACATACATATTTTAAAGAAATAACATCTGAGGAAAGTTTTATAAATTTATAAAAACAGTGTTAAGGTAACTTTCTTCAAAAACCAAAAGAAATTTCAAACTTAAATAGAATAATCCAGCCTCTATCTTTCCTATCACATCATTGACATTTACTGATATTCCATATTTGAACATAATTTTAAGCTCGTTTATACCATAAAATAATTTTTTGTTATTGAACGTACTCCAAAAAAATAGAATATAGATGCCATAAACATCCTCCAGAGTATTTTATTCATGGTTTAAAGATTCCTTATGTAACATTTGCTTTGTCAAACTCACTGGAAGTAGGACTTCAGGAAAATAGACCTCTTAGTTACTAAATCCACAAATGTCAGTATACGGAATGTGGGCCCTCATGACCGATTGCTGATGAATTAAAAGAACTGTTAGAAATGAAACAAGGAAAGAAAGAAAAGAAACAAGAAACCAACTTTTAACAATTTTTAAAGGGTTTTGCCAAAATCAGCAATTCTCTTCCCTCAGACTTAATTTTGCTTTTTGATAATAAAAGACGGAGGATTCAGAACATCAAGGAAACTGTTGAAAGGTTTTTCTACTTGTCGCTTGCTTGATTTTCTATCCTAGACAATGTTAAGCAGCATTCAAAAATTAGCCCCATTGGTTTCTGTTCTTGTGGGGAATATTTTTCTCTTTTCTTAATTGTTAGAGTATTTCTCATCCTTGATACTCTGTGGCTTGCCTGCCTTCCACAGGCAGATTGTGAGCAAGCCCTGATGATTGCTTCAAGGGAGAGTGGTAGTTTGGGGAGTTTGACCCAAGGTCTTTACCCCAGATTTTTCTTTCTAGTATTCATATGTGAACATTCAGCTTATAGATATGCAATTTCTTTTTTGTTCACTAATGAGTTGCTTTTAAGAGTCGTGTGTTTTTTTCTCACCTTTTGCAAAAGCATCTCAAAATTTACTGAAAGATGAGAGACTATACACATTCACATACACTCAATTAAAAAAATTGCTGGTCCTTTAGTCATGTTTCCACCAATTTTGACCTTAAGCTATATAAACTAGTGGAGTGGTGCTGGAGATGCAATATATGTGGAATTGAAAAGTCTTATAACATTTCAGATTATTTTTCCATAATCAAAGTTTAGCCTCTATATTGTAAATAGCTAAATTTAAAGGCTACTTCTAAAGTATTAATAGAATACTGTAAAATAATTAGTCTGGCTAAACAGATTCCATGCATTCAGTGTACAATTTATACAATTATAACAGTTCATACAAATAATATGGCACATACAGTATATGTTTTGGTCTGAAATAACTGGATAATTGCCCCTCAATTACACAAAGGCATTGAGCTACATAAAATAATAGTCTGCAAAAATTTGATTTGGCAAGGCAATTTTTTAGAAATAATATTACCTCTGAAAAGTGTCAAAGAGTTTAAAACTATTTTATCCTCATTCCATTGATTTCAAATCTGGCTGGAGAAAATGGACTTCTGTTTTGGCAAGAACAGAAGTCTCCTGAGCCAACATCATTATAATCCAAAGCTTAATTCAGATACCATAATTTGGTGGGACTATGAACAATGAAAATAGATATTTATGAGACTATAAAGACCTTGCATATAAATGTTGACTGTTTCTTTCATGGATTTTAGAATGTACATGCTATGAATAGATTTACTTTTTACTAAATGCAACATTAAATTATTTCAAATATTGAAATAGAAGCATTTTCTTTTGTAGAACTAATTTTCTACTTTCCATTAAAATGATATATTTTGTATTTTATATTATCAATTTCAATATGGTTAATTTTACAATTATTAAATGTGAAATATTTGCTTCTAGAAATGATAACAGGAGTAATCATATCTACTTATAAGTCTCTATTCTAATATCTAATAAATCAATATATATCTGATATAGAGACACTAATCTTAGAAGTTAGTAAAGTGATTCTTTCTAAAAATATTCTTTTCAAATTGAGGTACCAGATTTCCCAGAGATTTGGAAAAGGAATGAAATTCTTTAGCATTAATTCCAATCTTGTTAGTCCCTTTAAAATATAGCATTAGAAGCTTTCAGTATAGTCATTTAAAATACTTTTCTTTATTTTTTAGTAACTGTATACACTAGCAAAATTTTATGTTCTTTGTATAGGAATGTAGGACAAAAACATGGAGGCCAAGTATTGTATTCAAAAGAGATACCCTGCTTATCAGAGAAGTCAGAGAAGATGACATTGGAAATTATACCTGTGAATTAAAATATGGAGGCTTTGTTGTGAGAAGAACTACTGAATTAACTGTTACAGGTAACCATAGTCTTTGTTATTTCATTTGCAAATAATGAAACTACTATTTAAGTTTTTGTGCTGCATATTGTTTTTTAAATCTATGCAATGAAAGAAATACTTACCTGAGATTTATTCATCCCTGCTTTTAAATCATCTTCCACTGAAATACATTTGAAAGGTTGAAGAGAATATGTTTAAGGAATTATAGAAATGTTTGCTTTTCAAAGTACTTGAAATAATGAGTTTACAATTTCCCAAAATTATGCTTATATTTTGTAGTGGTATCATTTTTGGAAACATTTTCTAGAGTGGTAAAATGGAATATATGAAATCTACCTCTGTCTTCCTATCTTGCTCCAAATTAGAAAAATCACTTTTCTCTTTTATTCATTTATCACTCTATGAATGTGACATATGTGTTCTCATAAACTTGAAATAAAATAATTTCAGGTACAATTATTGAATAATTATATGAGATGTGATGCACTGAGTCATTCCCGTATCTGGTTGCTAAGGTGGAAGGACATGAGAACAAGATTCATTACCTATAATCATGAATCCACAACTCACTAGTTACATGGCTTTGGTGGAATCACCACAGCCTTCAGAATATTAGTTTCCTCATGTATAAAATGTCGATGATAAGATTGGCTTGTTTATTTCATCCAGTTTTTGCAAGGATCAAATGAGGTAAGGTGATATGCATGAAATCAATTTATAAAATGTAAAATTAGATCTAAATGTGCATCATCTTTATGTCATGTATTCACACGTTTTTTTACTTTATAGTGTACTACTCTAAAAGTGGTTCCATGAGAAAAAGGGAGGGAAAATAAGAGCAACATTGGGAAGTTAAAAACACCATTCTCATATTCTTATTGAGATTCTTCTTGGTGACTTTTTTGTATGATATTTGTAAAACATATACAGAAAAGCATAAAAAGGACAGTAACTATTTAAAGTAAAGAGATATTTATTTGTTCATTGATTCACTAAAAATAGTTTTCCTGTATATGAAAAGTGTTTTGTGATAGTCACCTATATCTTATAATAATCAATTTCTTTTAATATATCTGTTTGTAAATATTGAAATTTTTTTTGTCTATTATTCAATTTTTTAATCTCAATCTATATTGAATTCCATGGTGGTCTAGTGGCTAGGATTCAGCACTTTCAGTCTATACTTATGTAACTTTTCTAAGCAATAGCTATTGAGACAAAGGAATTTAAAAATATAAAGGAAAACAATCTGTTCTGAATGGAAAATAGAATGTACTTTCAGTCTTTATTCTTCAGAGTATAGAACTAATTCTTAGTAAACATATCTTTCCCCTTTTTAGAAATACGAGGATTCTAAGCCACTATCTAATACATGACAATTAGAGAATAATCCCATGGAAACTAGACAGGGTCCCAAATGCTAAAACAGCTTATATAAGGCTAGCTCATAGAAACAAAAATAGAACTCTTTTCTCCTAGATGCTTTCCAGGGCTACTATACTTTCCTAAATTCACTTGTCCAAAAATATCTTCTTTCCTTCATTTGAAAGTGAAAAATAATTAAGTCTTGATATCCAAGAGGAAGTTAGTGAAAGTTTTAGTGAAAGTTTTCACTCAATTGATTATCAAGAGTATTTCTGTATTAGTTATCCTTACCCGAGATGCTGACTTGGGCATATAAATTATAAAGCACAATTCGACTATATATGAAATTTTGGATGAATGGGGAACTGCATGCGCTGGAGTGAAAAACAGTGTGTAGTAAAATGCATTTTAGATATTAACAAGTCTATTGAGAAGATAAATTTATACATAACATTGCTTTAAATGGTGTGATACTATAGCGCATTTACTTTCACTGTGGCAAAATCAAAGAACAATTCTTAGAACCCAAATTATATCCTTCAGTAAAGCAACAAAGGTGAGCAGTTTCTGAATGATAATGAATCACTGTTTTGTATCTTAGTTTTCTGCATATCATTATCTATTGTACTTAATGTAAATATTATGCAAAACATGGTATTATTTAGTTTTAGTGGAGCTGAATTAACTGATAATAAACAACTATTT